ACCCTCCTACTGTAAACCTCTGATTCACCCTTCATGCTGCTGCCGTAGGTCCCCTTTCCCCCCCAAGAGCAGCAATGGAATGAGAGGAGGGAGGTGCCTTAGAAGAGTACTGGGTACGATTGTCCAGACCCCAGCTGGGCTATCCAGCCTGTAGCACTGCAGAGACACGATGCAAGGGCCAAGTGATGGCACAAGGCATGCCTACAGCACGTGGCCCAACATTCTAGCAAAGTCCTTCCGTGCCTTCTGGTGCTTAACAAAATTCCATAGCCTGTACTTCTTGCAGGACTTCCAACAGCCCTCCAACACTTATAACTTGGCCTGCCTGATCACTTAAATGTATTCTCACATTTCTTGGATTACTGGCTGCTAACTACCATACCTCTGTCTTTAACGTTTTCCTCCGAGATGGTTTTTGTGTCACTCAGCACCTTCTCTGAAGCAGCATGGATCAATTTATGACGTGTTACAATTTTGGGATCCTCCAAACTCCCAGGCACACACTAGGGGAGAAAACAACAACCTCAGTTACTGAACAGCAGAGGACAGGAAACATTTGAGTCTTCTAGTCATGTTGCCAAGGCTGTGGACCAGACAGAATAGCTTCTACTTAGCTGGAGCAATTAGCAGCAGACATAAGGGGATCACTAAGGTCACATGACAGAACAGAGACAGCTGAATCCTGTGAAACCTGGAAAGCTTTTCCCAGGGATGTTCCTAGATTGGGTGTAAAGGTGTATTCTGAAGTTCCATGTGGCCCAGGCACACACAACTGGATTCAGATCCAAACTGCAGCATGTGGAAAAAGAGTGCTTAGCCCTCCCCACAACATCTGAAAGAGCCCTGGGAGGGGCACCATTCACTGTTTGAGGCTGCACAGATTAATTACAGTCCCAGAGGAGGACAAATTGTATCTGGTGTGGTCCTCATCTGAACTGGGATCATGTGTGTCTGGGAAGCACAGAACTTCAGAACAAGCCTCTACACCTGAAACAGGGCCATCCCTCTGAGAAAATACATATTCAGAAAGGCCCTTAGGCAGGAAAAGAAGGCAACTGGCTTTGAGGAAATCAAACCCTCTCTGAAGAAGAGAAGGAACAAATGAAAGATGTTGTCAATCAGACAGAGCAACTAAACAGCTAAGCTGACAACGCAGTATCTACATTTTTGCTATCCAAGACAGAAGGAAATTTTTCATAATATACACAAGGTGTCGACATGAAGCCATTTCAGATGGCACTACTAAAGACTCTTTTACTATCACTGCCTTGCTGGACTGTGAAGAGTGTGTGCCAGGGCAATGGAAAGAGTTGTGGTCTTAAGTGAAGTGCCCAGTGTCAAAAAGTATGTCAACCCAGATCTGGACCCAGGACTACAGAAGATGTTTGCCTCTACAGCTCTGCATCTACACAAGCACTGTGATGCAGACCAACAACCCCTGGCCTCCATGAACACAGATGCAGCAGCAGACCAGAGAGAGAAGCCGTGTTCTGGCAGAGGACAAATGTTCCTGCACAGAAGCCATGAAGGAATCTCTTCTCCATCACGCAGCACATTTCTCTCCCCCTCCTGAGTCATCCTCAAACAAAAACTGTTGCCTAGCTAGAAACAAAAGAAGTGATTAAGCCTTCCTGCCACCAGTACAGATAATGCCTCTGGCAAGCATTGGATCGTTAAAGTGAAACACTGGACCATCACCCTCCTTCCCCCTTCCCTTGTCTCACACATTCCCCAAGAGGTGTCACTCCCTGCCACCCATCACCCCTAAATTGTCCAATGGTTGTTTCCTTTGTCTTACCCCTCCTGAAATATTATTCTTTTTGTCTACAGTTCCTGAGAACCAGTGACCACCTGGCTATTGCCTCAGGTCACAATTTGGCTATTTGAGGGGAGCCCTCCCTGAGCTCTCTCTCTCTTTGCCTCTACCCACCTTGTTGGTTCCATCCCTGATCAGTTTGGAATCACTCCATGTGTGTCACTGGCCGACTCACGATCCATTCCCCTTCTCATTTTGTTCCTTTTTTGCTGCAAGTTCTACTCATCTTGCCAGATGAGTTATCTTGCCAGATAACCCTAACCCTTCATAGGAAGCTCGAGTGGACAGCTTACGACAGTTCAGTATGACATGGTCTATACTGTCCTTGAACTTCAGGATACTCCAAGCCATGAGCTTGAGAAGCTGCACATTGTGATGCAGAATCTGCCCCTTCCCTGCAAGGAGGACATCCGCGACTGGAGGAAAATGTATGAAGGAGCCCTTGGAGAGATGGAGCAGAATGGGGAACCAATGTTGCCGGGGCCACCATGGAGTCACTAAGAGGCAACGAGGTTTCTCCTGTATTTTTTTGACTAATACTCTGGAGATTAGTGGAATAGGAGGGAATAGGAACATGTACATGCGTGACTACGGGAAAAGGAGAAAGTCGCTTAGAGACAGGGGATTCATCCCCACTCTTGAACAGAACAGACAACATTTCCTGTTGTGGTGTGTAGCAAACACATCCATCTCCGGATGGCCCCATAGGTGAAAGATCGACTGGAGGTATTGCCAGTTGATCTCCCATTCGTGCTCCGACGCACCGCCCCTGCTCTGGAAGTCCGCTTGGACGTTCAGAGTCTCCGGGAGATGGGCGGCTTCCAGGGACGTGCCCCACGACAGACAGTCTTCCCATATTTCCAGGGCTAGATGACATAGTCCCCTGGATACTGTGCCTCCCTGTCTGTTGATATAGCAGAGGGCCATGGTGTTGTCCGTGAGGACAGTGAATACCTGCCAAGCCACAAGGTGTCAAAAGGACCTGAGTGCATACTGCACTGCCAACAGTTCTAGGAAATTGATGTGATGGTGGGCTACTTGGGATTCCCAATGAGCCCCGACACAAAGTCCTTTGAGATGTGCACCCCATCCCAAAAGGGACGCGTCTGTGGTTAACGTGAGCGTAGTCTTGGGTGGTGTCAGCAAGCTGACAATATTTTTTTTCTTCCTTCATGTATGCACTTGGTTGCTTTCGCTTTCACGGAGCTCCCACTAGGAGATTTGCAGGGTCCGTCCACCAGAGTAGGGAGTGCAGGACAGGCAGTGTGATGACTAGATGGAGGGATTGGGGATGACACTGTGGGCAGAACCTCCTGACAAACCACAGCTGCAATGGTTGCATGCATAGTCTGGCACAGACAATGACATTGGAGGTAGCTGCCATCAAACCCAGCAGCTGCTGGACTTGCTTTACAGTGGCCGTTCCCATATCACGTAAACGATTCACCAGATCAACAATGTCTTCCACTATCTGCGGAGGGAGGAAGGCTTTGCAGATGACAGAGTCCAGAATAGCTCCTATAAACTGCACTCTCGTGGCAGGGAGGAGCATAGACTTTTGTAAGTTCACCTTGATTCCCAAGGATTTTAGGACAGTCAAGGTTAGTTCGACATGGGTGAGCAGGGATGCTTCTGAGTCTGCCACTAGTAGCCAGTCGATGTAAGGAAAAACCTGGACACCCTTGAGGCGGAGGTGTGCCACTATGACTACCATGATTTTCGTGAAGACCCGAGGGGCCGTGGACAGTCCAAACGGGAGGGCTTTGTATTGGAAATGTCTGTTGCCTACCGCAAAATGGAGGAAGATGCGGTAGATAGGATGGAGACGTGAAAGTAAGCATCTTTGAGGTCCAAAGTCACCATCCATGTCAGAAAACAACATCTGGAGGATTGGTGTCAAAGACAGTAGCTCCGTCGGTTCCGGGAACTGTTTCAGTGCTGACGACTGGAGGCTGGAACCTTTAGCAATCCCGATTGCAGTGGTTTAACAAATTTCGATGCCAAGGAAGGGTCTCGGGAAATCCGTGAGGATGCAGATTGGCGATCCCACTCAACGGGGATGTGGGGGAAGCCATAGCATTGATCCCGGGAGGGGATAAGCCCCGTACAAATATTGCCATTGGCATTGATCTCATTATGGGGGCTGGAACGATGTCAGAGACTGATCTTGATCATCGGGCCCGAAGGGTGGTAAGGGGACAATGGGATGGGTCCCTCATTCCCGATGAAGGCTCTCAATAATGGGAGATCGTTACAGGGATTAAAAATCAAAGGAGAGGAATACAAGTTGAGAGCTTTTGCGGATGACCTGGTATTTATTACAGAAGAACCTAAAAACTCGATCAAAGAACTAATGGAGGTAATAAGAGAGTATGGAGCAGTAGCAGGTCTGAAGATAAATACCACTAAAACGAAATTGTTGGTAAAAAACTGCGACGCAGGCGTCAAACAAGAAATAAAAAACCTGATGGAGATGGACATAGCAAAAAAAGTTAAATATCTAGGTATTGTAATATCAAATCGGAGCAGCACCTTAATTGAAGATAATTATACCAAGCTGCTTGAAGAGATAAAGAAAGATCTAACAAAATGGAAAGATCTACATATATCCCTGACAGGAAGAATAGCCGCGATAAAAATGAATATTTTACCTAGATTTCTATTTCTTGCGCAGAACATACCAGTAGTAAAACAGTCAAAGTACTTTGTAGAGCTTGACAAACTTACTAAAAAATTCATATGGAATGCAAAAAAAGCAAGAATAAACTTAAAGACACTACAGGATAGAAAGGAAAAAGGAGGCCTTGGATTACCGAACTGGAAATTATACTATCAAGCAGCCAGCATGGGATGGATAAAAGAGTGGATCAACCTTCAAGATGAAAGGTGCTTAAAACTAGAAGGACACGAACTACCCATGGGATGGCATGCTTACATTTGGTATGGTAAAGATCTATCGCATCAACATTTTAAAAATCATACAATACGAGCAGCTCTATTAAATGTATGGCAAGATATAAAGGGAAAATTTTATGTAAAGACCCCTAAATGGGTCTCACCCCTCGAAGCTTTTATAATGCCAACGTTGTTACACAAATACAACAGAGAAACATACGATAAACTGTTAGACTCTACAAATAAGCTAAAATCAGAAATAGAATTACGAACACAATGCAATTTAAAACTTTCCTGGTGGGAATGGGCACAATTAAAATCAACATACCAAAAAGACTCGAAAACAGGATTCTACGTAGATAAGACAGAGTTAGATAAGATTTGGTTGTCCTCCAATGATAAAATGGTTCAAAAGGTATATAGAATCTTACTAGAAGAATATACAAAAGAAGGAGAGAAAAACATTGCTGCATGGACATGAGATATAGGTTACGAAATACAAACAGACAAATGGTTAAAGATGTGGAAGCTAATTAAGGTTATGAGGGCAGCTAGCTTCAAAGAAAACGTGTTCAAAATGTATCATAGATGGTACTGGCCGCCAGAAAGAATAGCTAACTATCCCAACACCTGCTGGAAATGTAAAACAAGTGTTGGAACCTTTTACCATATGTGGTGGCAGTGTCCAAAAATGCAAAAATTTTGGATATGTATACAGAAAATGATACAAGAAATATGTAAAGTGAGACTGGATCTAGTGCCAGAGATATTTTTACTTAACCTACTTCCGGAAGGTATAAACTATAACGATAAATATGTGATATTATATACAATAACCGCAGCAAGGATTTTGTGGGCAAAATATTGGAAGCAAGATGTCACCCCAAAACAAGAGGAAGTGGTAAAAAAATTGATGGAAGTAGCAGAAGTAGACAAGCTAAACCTAATTTTACAAGGGAAATATGATGAACTTTTTGAAAAGAGATGGGTGGGAATGTATATATGGTTAGAAAATGTATAAATGACTCGAAGGTGTATGTATATTTGAGAGCTTAAGATGTACAAAAAAACCAACAAATAAAACGTTAAAAAATTAATAATAATGGGAGATCGTGGTATCTGAGTCAAATCCAGCTCCGGATCGGAGTCGATGGATTGGTTGGAGCGAAACGAAGGTGAACAAAGTGCACCCTTGTGATTGCCCTCGACTCAATGAGGCAAGCAAAGCAGCTCTGGACTGAGCGTCAGTCTCAGTTCGGTGAGGACTCAATGCTTTATCGAGAGAGCCTTTCTTGTGCTTCTTATGCTTGCTGTCGAATGTCCTTGCCCGTCTTCCGGATCTTGGAAGGGTTATGGGCTTCAGACTGTTGTGCCTGAATCGGGTGCTTGGGCACCAATTTTTTGGCATCAACCAGGGCCAATGTCGAAGACAAAGCGGCCGCCAATTCCAATGCGGGCGTCGACATCGAAGTGTGTCCAGGCGTGTTTTGTGACAAAGATTCCACTGGAGACAGCTACACATGGAGTCTTGCTGCCCGATTCTTCCTGGTCTGTTTGGAGAACTTGGAACAGTGGGAGCAAGCGTCAACACGGTGCGATTCCCTGAGGCACAGGAGACAAAGAGAGTGTCCGTCGGAGGGGACAATTTTTCTGCCACAAGTCCAGCACCGTTTGAAGAAACCCTATCTCTGCTGGGTGTTTTCAGCTCAGTTGAGGGCCAGCTGGAGAATGACCTAAAGGCTCAGGTCTGCCAGCACTGAGAGGAGCCCGTGCCAGTCCTATGCATGAAACCTCAGGTGGGAGAGGCCTGCCACAATGGTTTCCCAGCACTGAAGGTGCTTGTACCACTATAGATGTTTCTGCCGTTGTCCAGTCCCAATGCCTTGAACCTCAGGCAGAAGAGCTATCAAAACTAGTGGGTCAGCCTTACTCTGAGCCGGTACAGTCTACACAGATTTGCATAGCTCTGCCTGGTGCGAAGGGAGGTGTGACCACTTTGGACGACCTCCCCCACTGAAGGAGAAGAAGAATATCATATTAACACAGAAAATAAAACTCTTTTGTGTCTGGGTAAATGATTCTTAATGGGTGCTAATCTACAAATGGGGAGAGGAGGGGATGTCTGCAGTTTAGTAGTTAGGGTGTTTGACCAGGGTCTCAGCAAACTAGTTTCAAACCCCCAATCTGCAATGGAAGCTTGATAATTTTCTGACAGCTCAAGGTTACAGGCAGCCACTTGTCTTCACTACAAGGGGTTATGGCAGCAAGTGAAGCCGTGTCACCTCACACTCCTCCTCCCACCCTGAGGATAAAATCATAGATACACATACATATATCCCCCAGATACACAGCAGATAAGACTCAAACCTAATATTAAGAGTTGGCCACCATAAGGCAGAAGGGTCTGATGCCTGTGATTTTCATCTCATATGCATATATTATAAATATGCCCATTAAAGAGAGTTGATTGGTCTAGAACAGGTATGTCCAACCGGTAGATCGCAATCTACCAGTAGATCGCGGAGGAGTCAGAGGTAGATCACCAGCCCCACTTGGATCTCACTAATGGTCTCACTAATGAGCAAGAGCGAAGTTTTAAAGATTGCGCAAGATCAGCCTGGATCAATACTTGACCTACATTTAACACAAATAACTCTGAATAAAAGTTAAAGAAAGTTATTGAGACAGTTAAATAAAGTAATAACTCAATAAAAAATAAAAAATGTTAGTTCTTTCTGGATCTTCGTCTCTCTGTTTTGTTTTTGCTTATTTTGCTTACCAGTAAATGACAGAAGGTGCATTATAAATGGGGGGGGGGGGAACCCAACTTTAGTGGGTTAAAATCTAATTTGAAACTTTATTTTCATGGTGGTAGATCACCGGCACTTTTGGCTGGAAAAAATAGATCACTACCTGTTCGAAGTTGGACATGCCTGGTCTAGAATACTGTTTTATGTTCTATTTTTAAAAACATGTTCTGAGCCTGTTTGCCATCTTAGATCCTCTCATGGCCTCCCTTTCAGCTTTCAAATCAGAGACTCTTTATAGAATGAGATGGGCTGTCTGAATTTAATGTAAAGGAATTCAGTGAGAAGCTTCTATTTGCAACATTACTGGGTTATGCAAGCAGCAGTTCAGGCTGTTCTTAAAAGAGAAGATACCTACCTCTCTATTCTTCAAATATATTTTTATGACATTTCTGCGAGTAGGTACCAGCATGTCCCATCTGTCTCCAAAGAGTCTGTCCTGTTGGACATGCTGCCTACTCATGCGCCACAACTACTCCCTACAAACGTAAGCATTCTATCCACGTCCATGATGCCAGGGCAAGTTTATTTTTGTGTTTTCCTGGAGTGACCTTTTGCAAACAACAGCTGACTTCATCAGCGGGTAGTCCTGATCCCAAGCACAGAGATTTGAAACTGAATGACTGCATAGGCTAAATAAAACTCAAAATTAAGTAGACCCAAACTTTATTCCAGCAGCCTGCTTACTAGCTAATTAATTGCCTAAGAAAACAGATCAAGGTGGGTAGCCATGTTAGTCTGCCTGTAACAGTAGAAAAAAATCCAATAACACCTTAAAGACTAACAAAATTCATGAACTTTCATGGCATGGCACAAAAACTAAATTTGAAAACACGCGTTGTCATCGATTCTTAGGATTTTTACATGCACTCCACAAGATTAACTAAATTCACACATCACATCACAAAACACATGGATTCTCTGTTCTGCAGCATTACAATAGTGCAAAAACGTGGATTCAAGGTGCAGAGCCCTCTGGACTTTCATGATTTCCACATGGAACATTCCAGTATAGACCATAAAATCACAGATGGCATTAATGCAGTGTACCACCAAAAAAAGAGTGCATCATGGTGCCAGCCCATGGCAATATGCTTGGATGCCTACCAGTTTTATGGTACTAGTATGTACTTGTTTTGTGTAGTTCCTGAAAAATCACTCTCAAAACACAGATCATATTCCTGTCCACAATTTTTTACTATTTTTTAAAAATCCAGAACACCATGGTTATTACCATGACACGGAAACGTGTAACAAAAGCACTGATCCTCACAATCTCTACGCAGAATATTCCAAAATGCAGTGTGAAAGGAGGGATCACCTCCACGTCCACAGCTTCCACTATAAAGAACTGCATCTCTGGGACTTCTAGGTGCCACCATGGTGCAAAAACATCCAAGGTACAGAGGGCCAGGGTCCTGTCTGTTAAAGGAGAGTATCAGACCCGCTAGATGGAGACCACCGAATGAATCATCTGACTCACAAGCCACTAAATGATTGGGGG